GCGAGACCAGAAGGTACCACTGTGCTTAATGGCGACTGAAAAGCAACTGACAAAGAAATGACGACTGACGTCTCTTCCTCTCTCCAGTCCATTCTTTTCTGATTTTCAAAATTTCTGCTTTAGCGAATAATTATAGAATGTTTCCAGTAGAAAAGGAAGATAAATGATAAAAACTTATTGTAAGTAGCTATGCTAAATAAAATTATTTACGTTGACACAAACAAAGATTTTACGAACATTGATTATATGAACGTATATAGTAACAAAAATATAAAATTTAAATATTTTTAAAAAATCATTTCTTTATCTTTTTTTCTATCATATCTATTAGATAGTAGATTTTTGAATCAAAATAAAGGTTGCAATTTTTATTTTTAGTGAAATTTCTGCATGTTTTAAGCTTTTATAAAAACTTTATGTTAATTAAAAATATGATATTGAATATAAAATATATCATTATTATAGCAGATGTATATAATAAACATACCTAACCATATATTTTATCTTTTAAAAACCTACACCACTTGAATCTGCAGAAAAAAATTAATTGCAGTAAATTTGAAACTACAACTTTCAATTTTTTTTATAACACAATGACAAATAAATAGATAAAATCATGCCCAAAATAATTCGCAATGCTTAAACAAATTGCAAATATGCTTGGAAAAATGCATACGAAGGAAATCTTTGCTTGTGCACACCGTTTCATATTGATATAATTTAGTTACAACATTGGGTAATGCTGAAGTTGAGTCTTCAAATCTTCAAAGAAATTTGAAACGATCTATTAAAAACTTAATTACGTCGATTTGTAGATATCTGTAAGTGTTGTGCTCTGATGATGACCTTAAAATATGTAGAAAGCTTGGCAGGTAATAATTAAATTTCTTTTTCCATCTAGAGTCTAGACCATACTGAGATCCAGTTGCATATTGATATACAAATCAACACAAATCTAACGTACGCGGTTTATAATTGCTCGAAAAGCGTCAAATAGAAAAATGAAAATATATTTTTTTCAATTACTTAATCTTTTAATATAAGGTTTTGGTTGAAATGAAAAAGTTAGTGTCACGAGCGTGATTTGAGCCCACGGCCTTCGGCTAAAAACGCCGCTGCTCTACCACCCGAACTATCGTGACTTCGATCCACTCGGACACAACACCCCCGACTCAACCTACAACCTTTCGAATTTTCCCTCTTTTTGCCATTTTTCAATCATTTTCGTGGTGTCCGAGTGGATCGATAGCTCAAGATGCTAAAGCAGCGGCGTATTTAGCCAAAGGTCGTGGGTTCGAATCCCGCTCCCGACAGTGACTTTTCTTTTCAACCAAAACCTTACATAAAAAGATTAAGTAATTGAAAGAAGTAATTTGGTCAATAGACCACTAAATATAATGGGTGAAAATAATCTTAATTTTGTCGATGAGAAGTAAAGTTAATAATCTTCAATGTTTCTTGATGCAGGTGTTATTTTGCATTTTGTTTCATTCCATTGAGTAATAGGTAAAATAGGATTAGGATGAGTTTTATGTAAACAAATATTGAAATGTCTACTCATTAAATCGTTTTTCTGCGTTAGATGAAGTGAAAAATGACAAGTATTGAACCCAGTAATTAAAAGTCAAGCTTTCAGAAATTAGATGTGTACTAATGACAGACTGCTGTTGTCATCAGTAAATGCCAATCAAATAACCCTTCACTTGCTGGAGCAGTCACCCATATAGGGTTTGATAAAGGCTGACTTTGGTACTCCGACAATAATTATGTCTTTACTAGTTCCCTGGATGGTTCATACGTTCAGCAAAACCTTTTTATTTGGACATTTTGAATAGTGGAATGTAATTCGTTCTTACAACTTAAAGAAAGAGGACAAGAGTTATTAGATGACGGTTCTAAACGAATGCTGGGATTGGGGTAAGAGAAAGATTGCGCAAACTGACGACTCTAGCTTCTTTAATAGCTTGCTAATTACTTAATATTTAATTACTCTCATTGCTTCTCTAATTGTAACGTCTTGTCCTCCTAAAAGGGTCTTCAACCACTGACAATCCGTTTATGTATTTCATTTATAACTCGAGACGGTCGCCGGGACTTCCTTTTAGTCACGATACTGTCTTCCTTTTTGTCAAGGTTAATGTTCACATCAGTTACTTTACTCACAAACCCCTTGAGCTTCAAGAAAACGTTTCAAAAGTAATTACTTTAAATATTTTATCAAGAATATTCTTTGTGACGTGAGATTTTTTTCCTAAGAAAGCCTATGGAAAGATAAAAGAGATAGGAATTGAAAGAATGCCCTCAGGTGCTTTCATGGCGTATTTTGTTTACACGTAAGAAGGTTATTGTTTTGAATGTATATTATATATTATTTCTAAATATTGGCTAAGCTCTAGAACCGATCCTGTAGAATTGATTTCTTCGATTTCATACATCCTGTCTTCTTTTATATTTGAATAAAATAAAGTATATAACATATTAAATGTTTCCAATCAAATTTAACTTGAAATATATAACCAAATATACACGAAGTCCGTTTTATCTAAGGAGGCCATCTCATCTGGTTTAATTTCTCTCGAAGAGAAGAGAAGTTATCGAAAAACCAAAAATACATATTAATACGATTTGGTAATTTTAAATTTTTACTCCTTTTTTACAAATATTTGTTGTCAGACAACTCGACAGACTGCTTCACAGCCAGTACAACTTTGAAATTTAAATAAGAACGCATACATTTTACCGCTCTTTTAAAGGATTGCTACACTGCAAAGGATAGCGCAATCAGAATTTAAATTGGTTAAAGAATAACAAAGTTATGGCCTATTATGTAAAAAAAATCTTAATTTCGTTTTTATTATTAAGTATTTTTATTTACTGTTTGGTGTTAATATTTGTGTTTTATAACTTTCTTGGGATGATGTTAATCTCTGTGTTTCTGTTTGTTATCCTTGATCCCGGTAATGCCGACTTAAATAATTTCTTACTTGCCACGATTTGTGCCGAGCTTTCGAAAAACACAAAGAACATTTTATCAGAACTATGAAAGGATAATAATAAAAACCAATTAATTAAGGTTTTAAGTTGAAATAAAATAATTGGATGATATTAATTGATCAAGCGGACCACGAAAAATAGTGAATTTGAGAATAATAAAAACCTTTATTTGCAAATATAAGTGCAATATAATACAATTGTATTACATCTTTCTTTATTCCATAAGGTAGACATACTCACAACCACTGAAACTATCTGAGATGTTGTCTTAAACACAGTATTGTTCGTGGTATGCTGTTAACAATTTTGGAAGAAAACGGAATTTTTGTATTAAATATTATTTTATTAAAGTTAGGTAGAGCAAAATCTTTTTTTTCTTTAAAATATTGTTCTATTGACAGAGTTGGAGTTAAAGTAATGCCAAAGTATTTAAATTTATTAACAATTTGTAATAATTATATTTTGGAAAACTATCTTTCTTGTCTAATATGTCTTCTACCGTTCCTTAATACTGCAATTTTCGACTTACTCAGGTTTACCTCCAAGTTCCAGGTATCGCAATAAGTTTCTAAGGAAGTAATGATTTTTTGGAGAGTAATTTTATTTGACGCCAAAAGACTAATAACCGCATACTCAGACATGTTAATCCGATTACCTCCTGTATTAACTCCATCATCCAAGCACCCTTGCAGATCATTAATAAAAATCGAAAAAGTAGCGCGCTTAAGAGGTACCCCTATAAGAGTGCCAATTGGTTCACTTGGCCCATTATGACACCATACGGAGACGTAGGTTCAAGTATACAGATTTTTTAGGCAATTGACCATTTTAGTGCAAACCCTTAATTCATTTAATTTTATTTATAATCTCGTCATCCAACTATGAAACAATAATTAGCTAATAATTTATAGATAAATGTGGACATCCATTTCCAAGTTTGAAAATTGTGATTCCGATTACAAGCAAATTAAAAATTGAAATTATATAGTCAAATCAAAGTTGACCAGAAAGCTTGTTAACAAAAAGGTCACCTATAGATATATAAATACAAAAATAAGAACACTAATAAAAAATGAGGAATAAGAACAAAAACAAAAAAGATACAAGACAAATTATAGATAAAGTAAAAAATTGTAAGAAAAACATAGAGTTTCTGTGTGTGTGTGTGTGTGTGTGTGTGTGTGCGTGCGTGCGTGCGTGNTGTGTGTGTGTGTGTGTGTGTGTGTGTGTGTGTGTGTGTGTGTGTGTGTGTGTGTGTGTGTGTGTGTGTGTGTGTGTGTTCAAAAGAGGGGAGAAAAAGAAGGGAAAATATAGTTTAAAAAAGGGATAGTCAACAAGGACACAAAAGAATTGATATGTACCGATTCAATGTAGGTACTGGTTTTAATAAAAAAACATTTCATTCTTATCTATTTCTCTCATATTTTAAAAGAACGGTCAATTAATAGAATGCATCGCCCGTTTTGAAACTTTAAAAGGAAGTCACAAGCAGAAACCTGTCGCTTAACGAGTGTGCTACCCCAGTTTAGAGACAGCTTACATACCCAAGTTTCTGCAAATGGGAAATTACGCGGTGAACATCACCGCTATCTCTGGAGTGGTATAATGTGTATTAACTTCGATTAAACCTTTGAGTTGGTCTGTCTAACTATTCTCAGCATACCAGAAAGTTATAACTCTTTTTAAAATTGTACATCAAGTTCGACAACACAACCGCTCGCTAACAGCATTTCCAACAGATAATGCGGTTTTAAAAGTTCTAACTTGTCTGCTATTATTTAAAAACGCTAATATTTTATAAGTTTAATTTGCCGTCGTTTATACAGTCGTACACATATAAATGAATGTGTTTCCTATGAAGTTAAAATGTGTTTATATACGTATGGTATTAAATTGTATCCTGATTGCTTAAAAAGTCTGTTGTTATAATAATTTGAGTTGAATTTTGAATAATACTTATTTATTTTGATAATTGAAATAATAATGGATCCTTTTTTATCTTTCAGAAAATGCAGATAATATGCATGACGTGATTTTACGGAACTCATAAACATGGAGGTACGTAAACCATAATAATGCTAATAGGAATGTCGTTTATCACCTGAAAGGTGGAATTTGAGATGAGGTCTTTTAGCCGTGCGATCAATGATCGTGGATTCTTGAACCTTTGAAGTAAGTTACAATTAACCACGTTCCGACGTATCCTTTGACCATTTAAACTTTACCTCTCTTGGACGAAAAGTTGCTAGCACTTGATTAGTGCAGGACTAGAAAACTCATCGGTAGAATTTCAGCTCTTTACCGTAAAATTATGCCGACACTTCTTTTCGGTTGCCATTTCGATATGAATTTACAAGTGAATTATTACATAGAAATGACAAGTTACTTTTCTTTTTTAAATTTAGTAAATAATAACATTTGTACCGACGTCCCTGGCAGCACGGTCAGCGTAATTTTGTCTCACTTCAGTGTTTTATTATATGCATAAATATTCTTTATTAATTTGATGCATTTTTTTATTTATATTTATAATATAAACGTAAATTAAATTTGAATTGTCAATAAATTCTTTAAGACATTCTGTTTGTTTGTAAGATAGACTAAACCCGCACGAATTGTATGCGTTGCGTAAGTGTTGATCTTTCAAGCCGTTTGAAAACTTTTTTTGTGCCAAATTTGTACTTGCAACTTGAGATGCTACAAACAAATTTATTGTGTTATTTAACAAAACTGATAGCGAGAAAAATCATATACATTAATATATAACATTAAAAATTCAAATGGCGTAAAAGCTGGAAAAGGTAAGTCGTCCAATGACGACCTAACCTAGTAGTTATTAAGTCAAGAAACGAAAGAAAAGTTCAATTTATTTAATAAGTACTTTGTAAATAACTGTCCAACAAAACAGTGGCTATGATATTCGCTACATCTGGGCACTCTTTAAAAAAAACGTTTTATGTACAGAAGTATATTCTATAGGATTTGTAATAAATTTTCATTACCTGGCTGATCCGTTTTCATCTTCAGGTAAATTCTCACAAGCCAATGGAAAAATACTACAGCGTACCATTCAGTTATGGGGTTATTAAAATCGTGTAAAAGTGTGATTGGAATTCAAAGTGAATGCTGTACGACTTTGTGTCGGAAAGTATGCTGTATACCTCGGAGATTTGGGCACCTAAATACAGTAATGAAATTGAAAGAGAACTGCTGGAATTGTTTAAACAAATTTGAAATCGTACGTAGAACGTAAAAGAGTCCATCCAAAATTTAAAGTGTTTAAAAGTATGCTTGGTGGTCGTAATCAATTTTGAAAATGCTGAACCATCACTTGACCATGCAATGTTGTCTAAATTTGTTTGAATTAATTGATAATAAAATCTTTCAATTGGTAAGATAACTCAGAAATTATCCCTTCTTTATTGGCGATGAATATATTTTTCAGGCTCAAGACTTGAAATTAGTGGAGAAAAATTATGACTATTTGATTGATTAATTTAAAAATAATCTTATCAGTCTAGATGTAGAGTCTGTGTTAAACAGTTGATATGATAACTACTATCATTCTTCATGTAATTTTAAATTGAATGAGCCACAATACAATATCATTTTTCAAATTACCAAATTAAGACTCATTGCACAGCTTCGGTTAGCTAACAAAAGATATGCAGTACTTAATTTACCAGAAAGAAATTTTATTTGGATTTGGATAAACTGTGTTCTTTATGTGCCTCTCAGGCTCCTAATGACTTATCAGATCAAACTTTTTATCGAAACGTTTCTTGCATTCAGACTTAGAAAAAGTTATATTATTACTAGACTTAAATTCCACTGGTTTGAAAAACAAAATAAATGACATTTTTATGTTCTGTATGATAGTCCCCTGGCAAGGTAAATATCATTTGATTTATTATTATATTTTGGCGAAGTGCTGAATAAATGTGATTTAAAAAAAATTAAAAAATGATATTTAATAATAAAAATATTTAAAAAAATAAAAAATGAAAGATTGAAATTACAATTATAAGGAAAAAAGAAATGAATGAATGTAATAAAATCGGGAGAAAGAAACGGAGAGGTAAAAAATGTGAGAGGACTTAAAAACTCTTATAATAATATTACTGAACAAATTTCTTTCTTAAGTGTATAAAATATGTACATTAAAGCCGCACGATTAGCTGTTCAATACATATTTTCATAAGTAGGAAAAGTTTGTTTTTTCAAGAATATTTTTGAAAAACCTACTATTCTTGTACAGCTGTAAGAATCCTAATTTCGTTCTAATCTTCCTTGGTTATTTCTTAAAGAAGATAAATATTGTTACGATTTGTTAATTTTAATTAAGAATAATTAAGTCGGCTCTGGCCATTAAGATGGTTTTGCACCAGCTGGGCATTTGGCAGATTTGCTCAGTGTTAGCCGGTGTGAGTTATTGTCTTATAAATATTGTTTTGTTTTTTTTGTTTTTTTGTGTGTATCCGATTTGCCAATTTGTTTGTGGGGTTGTTTTCAGTAAATATAATTGTTTTCTTGTATTAATTAAACTTGTTTGTGTTTTTATTTCTTTTATTACGTATATAATACAATACGTAAACACCGTTCAATACTTACACACATTAAGATAAATCTATCCTTAATAATATATTGTATTTCAATCATGTTTGTACGGTACCAATTGTCCTGTTCGACAAAAATAAACATATTTTAGTGTAAGTGCTAATACGCTAGCTTTAAATTCATTTTCTATTCGAAAAATATTACATGTGTGGAAACCAGAAGAATTGTTAAAAAGGAAAAGTCCCAAGCAATTTCTCTAATGAATATATTAACTATATTTTCACGCTAATATGAAATTAGCTTAATATAATCTTTCTCTTTCGTTTATCATGGGATTAAACCAGACGAGGTTGAAAAGCGTCGGCATAGCAAAAACTATCTGTATCAAATCACCCTGGAATTATCTCAGCTAGTGTACAAGCGGAATCTAAGCAGAAGTAAGATACACTTTTATAACGGTATCACTTGAGGTGTATGCCGTTCACGTCGTAACGAGCCAACTCCCTCAAAAGCACTTCCCTAATAAAAAGCAAGTAAGACGAACTGAAGAATATGCTTTTTTTATGTTTTAATGTCTTATATCACACTTTGGCAACAAATGTAACAATGTTTTTTCCCCAATACGAGATATTTTCCTCCCGGACGGCTGCCTGCTAGGGTCATTTTCGACTTCTCGCGTATTTTCCATCTTGCGTTTTTCTTATTACGAGCCTCTACTATCTAGTATATTGTACTTTTTGCTGTCGCTAATATTTAACCTTTCCACAGATCCTAATTATTAGGTACAGCTACACATTCATTCAATTACAAACAATAACTAATAAATGTTTGATGGGACCAAATACTACCTCTAAAAAATAATAGAGCACCTATAAATTAACAACATTTGGGAGGACGCAGGTTTTTCATAATCTCGACGTCCTTTTATTTACGCTTAAAATGGGGGTAATCACTGGGTTTTTTATATAATGCTGGTTTTATACCTCTAATTTTTCAATTCTCTCCAATTTCATTAACCAAGATGATTGCCAATGTGTCACTAAAAGATATTTTTCCGTAATTCAAAACTGAATCAATGTATTCAATAAAAAATATTGTTTTGATTCTTGGAACGATTGTCTGTTAACTGAACTGATTTGAAAAACATAATTTTGGCAATTTTAGCATAAATTTTAATTAATTGGTCAAGTGGATCACGAAATTAGTTAATTTAATAAATTTTAATAAAATAGATCAATTTATTAATTCAAATAATTTTAAACAACTATCTTACAATTTCAAGGTTTTACCAATACCAATTCTTAACCACATTGTATTAATCTGCGTATCTGCTATTATTCTGAAATGTGATATAACAATCATTTTTACAGTCTTTCAAAATGTGAAAGACCCAAACATGTTATGGTCCAAATGCCATTAATTAAAAAGCTCACATAGCTATTTACATGACTAAAATTCCAACCGATCATTTATTGAAACACCGATAGAAAAAAGTAAATAAAACAAAAATCATCATGGACTTGTAAATTTATTAAGATTAACAAAACGACAATAAAAATAATTAGAGAGTTTTCAAGTGGTTTTTTTAATGAAATATTGATTCAAACAATAAAACCAACAAAAATCTTTATTTTTCAATCATGCCATCTGTCGTTTGTTTTCCGTTTTCAATAATTGTATTATAGTTATACTTTGATAAATAAGTATAACTTACCAACAAGAAGATTACTTTACGTATTATTATGGTAAATGAACTAACCCACTAATTTAAACAGCAAAATTGTATTAACTTAATCCCATTTTTACCTCTCTTCCAAAAGCACTTCACATTTGAACTGACCTGTTTCTAACAATAAGTATAATATACAAAATTCTTTTAACGTAGGACATTCTGCCAACAAATGATACATGCGTGTATTTAGTCAAATATAAAGTACCTGAGGGCTGGAGGGATTTTTAGATGGATATAATATACGTGTCGTGTTTTACTTAATTTAATGTAATTTATTAGCGCGAAAGAACACGTGATTAACCCCGCCTCGTGGAATATCGAATGCTCTGTGGGGGGGAATGTAACCAGACAATTATGTTTCTATCGGTGTTGTGTTTATGTTAATTTATCGGCATGAATGTTATTTATTATCGTGAATGGGAAGGGTTGCTTAACCCCGATATAAATATATATATATTATATATATGTTTTATATCTATTCTGTAGTGAAGGGCGTTTTAAGATATCGGCTTAGTTTTCATTCAAAAGATTGAACCGCTCATATGTCTGCAGGCTGAAAAATACGCGTGATAGACCAGAAAAGAAGTAAAAACACTAGAGGGTCGGCGATGACTCCAGCTGTTTGTCGGTCTCTTAACTACCCACATTGTAATTAGTCAAATATAAGAGTTCTCTTTTAATATTTACAATAAGCCAATAAAAATATATTAAATTTTTCCGGAAATTGTTTTCTGGTGTTTTAACAATTTAGATTAGTACTGTTCTACAG